AGGAAGCAATGAGGTTGAGCAGAGGCATTTTTGAGCATCCTCTGGTATTAGAGGCCAAAGCTGTTGCTTGCTCATTTGGCCTGGGAGAGGGGATAATTAACTACCTATCTCTCCTGTCCTTCAGCTCACCTATGGGGGACAGGGGCCAAGAGTGCTCAAAGCATGGTCTCTGTGGCAGCTCAACGCAGCCTGTGGTGCCAGGCTCCAAGCCCCCCAAAAACCAGCTTTTCTTCCCCAGAGGCTCCTTGCAGAAGTACCCAAAGCCTTTAAAGCTGAAAGCTGCCTCTTGCAGGTCCTTTAAAATGTCTCGGCTGAGGAGCAGGGTGAATTGCTAAAGGGGAAAGCAGGCTTGGAGCCACAGCAACCAGGCGTTTGTTTGTATGGGGCCAGGCATCATGTCAAGAAAGCAGGTTAGAATTTACATGCAGAGTAAGAAGTAATAATAGGATAAAAACTTCCTCGTGTGAGATGCTATTATTTCATTATGTGGCCAGGCAAAGCCCAGTCTTATTTTACTCCTGCCCAGTGACGTCCTTTCTGTCACTAAGTCCTGAAGAATAAACTTGAAGCATATTTAAATCATGCTTTTTGTTTTCCCATGGGTGATAAATATATATTTTAAAGTATTATTTCTATGGGGACAAAAACTTGTAGAAAGCATCCAAAAGATTCAGGGTTTTGGGGGTGTTTGGGAACAGCCTGGGAGCCACAGGACCATACTCCAGGGAAATCTTTCCTGACTCTTCTGCCAAGCCTCACTGGTGGTGGTGCCTCAGAGAGGGATGGTCGTGGGAACAGCTTTGGGTTTGGCCTGGGTGCTGGGAAAAACCCGCCTCCCAACGCTAAAGCAGCTGAGGGCTGACTCCCAGCTGAGGCTGGCCACTTTCAAGTGGCTTGCCAAGGTGATGGCCAAACTGGGGTCAGGCAGAAGCCCACAAAGGAGGCGAGTGGCATCCCCAGTTCCCCTGCAGAGCAGAATGTAGGTTCATCCCCATCCCTCCCAAACGCAGTTGCTTGGAAAGTACAGAAACAAAAGGCTGTTGGCCAACTCCCCCTTTACAAGGAGAAGGATTTAGGCATCTCTCCCTCCTCTTGCACTAGTGGGGTCACTTAAACAGAGGAAGATCTCCCACATGCTCATGTGGTCAAGGATGAGGGTTCGCTGCTCCTGCAGATGTGGCCTCCCCAGCTGCTATTCTGGGGACATGACTGCTGGCTGTGGGCTTTTGCAGGGAGCTCAAAACCTCACCCAGCCTCATCCCCTTGCACTGCTCTGCTGTGCACCAACAGCAATTTAATAATAACAGCTTTGCCCAATATATTTCCCCTTATGCATGTCCCCATTGCTTGGTTATGCAAGTGTGTTTTTCATGTTTCTGAGCAAGCAGCTCTTCACGTTGTTTATTAATAACCCAGCCTGGACAGAGGGATAACCTGTGCATGCTGTCGTTTGAAAGTGCTCGCTGTTGCACTGGCCAGGGACTGAACTGTCTCCTCTGGCTGTTGTAGTGGGGGAAAGATGTCAAATTGGGTGTTTCTATGAAATGGGGAGGTTGATATTGCTGGGGGGAGGCAGACGGAGGGAGATGCCTTTAGTCAGTCGGGAGAAGCCCGGGGTGCTGGGTGAGCAGGAGCCTCTGCTCAAGGCCAGGGCCAGTGGTAAAAGCTCCTTCAAAGCAGCGACCGTGCGGGGAAGGGGGATGCGGGGTTAGGGGGTGAGCTTCAGCCTGGGCAGGGCTGGGGTCTGCCCGCGAAGAGACACTGGTGGTCCCCTGGAGTTGTTCTCCTGTGCCCCAGCTTCAGGGGGACCCAGCTGGGGAGCCCTCTGCGGGGCAGGAGTGGGGGAAAATAGGGGTGAGGGAAAAGAGGGGCCTCTCACCCGGCCGCACGGTGTCGGGGTGTGAGTGAGACCGCTGTAGGGGGGGTTGCTCTGTGGAGCCCATCTCCGAGCATCCTGCCGCTGCCGGGAGGCAGCCGGGCTGGCCCCGGCAAGGGAGAGCGGGGGGCTGCCTTCCCCCCTGTCCCC